AGAGATGTACAATACTTGTACTTCAATGGGAACAGGAAAAGGATTGCAAACTGCTGCATGTGCTGGAACAGGTAAGCAGATTGTAAAGTGGGTTAGATGAAAACAAGCCAGGGAAATGGCTATGGAGTAAGCCTCCCAGCCAGATCACTCTACACATTTTCCCCTTCCAGGGTAACACAGTCTTCCTTCAGCAGTCCTAGGCAATCTTCCCATTCGCTGCCATAGGTGCCACTCCTTCAGTGGCTGGCAAGGGAACCTGGGCCCATCTTCTGCTCCGGGTTCCAGCTCAGGGACCCTCTAGTCAGCAGCCAAGGTCTGTTGCCTTCTAGACCTTACTGCCTTTCCCTGAGCCCTTTCCTACCTTCCTTGATTCCCCACTCTCTGGGTTTGTCAGCCCAAACACACCTCTATTCTCCCAGGGAGTGACTGCAGACTTTCCCAGCAGCTCCCTTCTGCTGCCAATTTCCTGCCTTTGTAAGTCCAGCACAGCTGTTCCTCCTCAGTTGGGCTACCTCAGTCAGGGGATTGCTTAGCCACCTGATTCCTCTTTGCTGTGTCCTATTGGGTTAATTAGCCCCACTTTGTCTTCATTAAACCTTTCAGGACAAGTGTGGGGTGTGAATGTACACTACCTACTGCCCTGTAGGCATCTAGAATCCATTCAAGTAAAAATACAACGCATAAATTCACATTTCCCATCAAAAGCAGAGTGAAATAGATAAGCAGAACAGAAATACAGTTTCCATGTTCATTTCAATGAAGTTTTGGGGGTAGCAGTAGTGTATTGATTACTCTTTTGCCCCTCCTGCTAATTTTATCTATGCATATTTTTGTACATGATGAGTAAATATGCTTTGGGGTAATTCAAATGTTCCCTTTTGGAATTCCTCAGCTCTTTAGAGCTTGATGACAGATAACTAGTTCTGTGCAGAGAAAAAAGCATTGATGAATTGCAGGAAATGGTAAATTATGCAGTGAAAGTGTATTCTATATCGTTTTTAGTGTATTTCCTTGAAAATTATCATTGTGATGTGACAATTAATTTTCATGAGTAGGGTCCTTATTCCTTATGATTCCATCTTCCACGGGTCAGACCTGGAAACACTTCCTTCAGTGATGCCTTTCTATTTCATGTAATTCATTTCAGCCCTTAGTCTACAGCCTTATTAATCTATTTTTAATGCCTCTTAATCATTTCTCTCTGCCCTGCTTCTATTGCAGCAGTCTACTGATGCCTTTTTGAGCAGCTCAGTCTCCCCCATTTTTCCCTTTTTTCTTGTTTTTTTTTTTTTATATATATAATCACAGCTTCAAGCTCATGCCTCAGCCTCTTTCATTACAGTATTCTATTTTCAAAAGGGGAGACAGGGCCGACTGTGGCACTATCAAGGCATTGCCCTCCTCCCTCCTCATCGCTGGGAAGATTCTTGCTAGAATCTCACTGAATCGCCTGCTCCCTCTTGCAGAGGAAGTACTACCAGAGTCCCAGTGTGGCTTCAGACCATCACAAGGCACCTCAGACATGATTTTCGCAGCCAGGCAGATCTAGGAAAAATGTCAAGAACACCAGCAGGAGCTGTATATGGCTTTATAGATCTGACCAAAGCTTTTGACTCTGTCAACCGTGAGGCTCTGTCAAAGTTTGGCTGCCCAAGCCCATTTATCACCATTGTAAGACTCCTCCACGACCAGATGACTGCCTCCATCCTGTGCAGTGGCTCTACCTCTGAGCCCTTTGTCATCCAAACTGGTGTAAAATAAGGTTGTGTACTGGCACCCACCCTTTTCTCCATTTTCTTAGCAGCTATGAAAACATTAACCCAAGACCGTCTACTGCAGGGCACTGGCATCCAATATCAGACTGACGGCAACCTCTTCAACCTTTCTCGTCTCTGTGCCAGAACTAAAGTAATATCAGCAACAATAACCGAACTCCAGTACACAGATGATTGTGCACACTCAAGGGAGGATCTTCAAAGTCCCCGGTTAATCATCAGACCCAGCAAGGAAGTTCTACATGGACAAAGAATAACTGGAAAATGTAGAATACTTTGCCTATCTTGGCAGCCATCTCTCACAGAGGGCAGACATAGATGTCAAGAATCAACAAAGAATCCGCTGCACCAGCCTTGCCTTTGGCAGACTCTCTCATCAGGTGTTCAACAATCACATCATCAGAATACATACTGGACTTTTAGTATATAAAGCAGTTGTAATCCCAACTCTCCTCTACAGCTGTGAGACTTGGGTGACCTACAGAAAACGCCTGAAAAACCAGCACCAGCACCTTCTTTGGAAGATCCTCAGCATAAAGTGGGAGCGTCGCCGCACTAATGTCAGTGTACTCACAGAGGCCAACATCTTCAGTGTTGAGGCCCTAATTATCCAACACCAGCTGAAGTGGAGCAGGCACTGTGTGCGCATGCCTGATGTACGCTTACCAAAACAACTGCTGTAGGCTCAACTCACCAAAGGAGAAAGGAAATGGGGAGGCCAAAAGAAACATTTTAAGGACACCCTCAAGATAAATATCAAGAGATGTGTCATTGACATCACACACTGGGAGACAGCAGCCCAGGATAGGGATAACTGGCAAAGACCTGTCAGAGAGGGAGCATCCACTTTTGAGGAAAATCGCCTTGCCCTAGTCACAGAAAAACACCAGGAAAAAAAAAAAGGAAGACAACTGTTACACAGCAATCGTGGCCCAACCCTGTCTTCCAACACCACCTGCAACGTCTGCCAACGAGCCTGTGGCTCAAGAATTGGACTCCTCAGTCACCAAAGGACCCCTGAAAAATAAAACCTGTGAAAGAGATCATCCTCGACCTCAAGGGGTCGCCAATGATGATGATGCATCAGTTAACAATTTTTTAATTTATTTTACCACCTTTAATTATTACCCCAAGTTACTGTTAGACTAGTGTAACAAATCATCAGCAACAGCGAATGTTAAAACTAGTGTCTAATTTCTCTTTTATTTCCTCCTTCCTTTTGTGCCTTACAACAGTGTGAGGTCCTAATGTTGTTTCTAGAGTTTTAAAGGATTTTCATTTCTGCACTGTAGTTAAGAAGCATCATCCTCAGAAGATGGATATCAGAGAGTGTAAAAAGCAACAGAGTCTTGCATCTGAAGAAGTGAGGTTCTTACCCACGAAAGCTTATGCTCCCAGTACTTCTGTTAGTCTTAAAGGTGCCACAGGACCCTCTGTTGCTTTTTACAGATTCAGACTAACACGGCTACCCCTCTGATACTTGATCAGAGAGTGTGTTTCTGCTTGTGGCTATTGGGTATTATCATTGTTAAAATATAGGGCTCTAACTTTACACATTGCTTTACAAACATAGGCATAAGCCCTGCAATGAGCTCTGCACAGGCAGATGAAGTCACATGGTGGTCCATACCCCTGGGGTCATTCGTAGGATCAAGGCTACAAAGAAAACACTACCACAAATATCTTACAATCTAAGTAAAATAAACAAAAGTAAAACAAATTATAGGACAAATGTTACAATGGATTATTTTAATAAGAATTTTTGGAAAAAATTGTTAACCCTCAATGGAAGAGAAATAATAACATATGTTGAAATATACCGAGGAAATCCTACAAGAAGGGTGTGGAAAAATTGGAAAGAGTCCAGCGGAGGGCAACAAAAATGAGTAGGGGGCTGGAGCACACGATTTATAAGGAGAGGCTGAGGGAACTGGGATTATTTAGTCTGCAGAAGAGAAGAATGAGGGGGGATTTGATAGCTGCTTTCAACTCCCTGAAAGGGGGTTCCAAAGAGGAAGGATCTAGACTGTTCTCAGTGGTAGCAGATGACAGAACAAGGAGTAATAGTCTCAAGTTGCAGTGGGGGAGGTTTAGGTTGGATATTAGGAAAACCTTTTTCACTAGGAGGGTGGTGAAGCACTGGAATGGGTTACCTAGGGAGGTGGTGGAATCTCCTTCCTTAGAGGTTTTTAAGGTCAGGCTTGACAAAGCCCTGGCTGGGATGATTTAGTTGGGGATTGGTCCCGCTTTGAGCAGGGGGTTGGACTAGATGACCTCCTGAGGTCCCTTCCAACCCTGATATTCTATGATTCTATGAAATGGTTCCAGATTTTAAAATTACATTTGGAGAGAGAGAGAAAAAAAGCCTCTGCAAAATTGCCTATCAGAGCCAGTTCAGGGTCAGAATGGTGGCACAATGTGATAAAAAGTTGTGTCAACGCATTTTTCAACGCAACGCATATGCAAGACTTGAATGCCACTTGTGTTTTCTTGCTCACTTTATTTTCCATATGCAGGTATGAGGAAAAAACACCACAAACCCAGCATTTTATAACATGTTGCTGGATTCAGTTCCATGATTTATCATTCTTACACTGTGACTGAGCACCATTTTAACAGGCACTCAGTAGGCACTTTGAAAGACACAGTAAGATTTATTAGCAGACTATATGCCTTTCTTGTAAATGAGATCCAAAGCCTCAAGAAGCATAGCTAATGCCCTTTTTTCCTTTTTATTTTTCAAAACAAGATGAGCCTGGTGACTTATATGGAGATCAATCTTTGTCTATATTTCAGGAGGAAAGCTAATTAAATTTTAGCTTAATTTGGACTCTGTCTACATTTTCAAAATTGACCAGTAATTTTTGGTGCATCCATTTTTTGAGTGCACCGCCTGAGACACCTTTAAGGTCCCAGATTTTAAGAGGGATGGTGCTCAAGTTGGGCACTCAAAACCATATTTATTTCTGAAAATTTGTACCTGTATTTTTTACATTCATTCCTGATTGCAGGACAAAGCTCTGCACCTAGCATCATTCTCAGATTGCTTATGAAGTCTTGTTAGCCTTCCAGTCTTCAGTATGAATCAGCCACCATTTTGTAAAGGAGGAACTACAGTGACTTATATAAAGCAATATCCATTTAAGTGCATCTTGTAATTAATGTTACTGATACGCCAACCAGCGGATAGAACATTTTCTGATATTTTGTGTTGAGATCACTTACCTTATCACACAGGAGGCTATTATTTTTGGTGCCTGCTGTGTAGCAGTCACAGGTTTTACAAACATCGACAGCTGAAAGATCTGCACCTGCTTGCCGGTAATGGAAATCCTTACACAGCTCACAGTTTCTTCCTGCATGAGGGAAAGGTTATGCATTATGGCTTCCAATTCATTAAAATTAGCTGTATAATTCAAAATTAAAGAGACTATTCCTTTGAGAGAATTCTATAATTTTCAGGACGTCCATTTTAATGCACCTTTCATCTCTACCTGCCAATTTAGTGATCCAGAGCATATGAAACAATGAACCTGTTACAAACTGTGTTTTACTCCATTAAACTTCCATCTGTTATATAATACCACACTTCTATAAAGCTATGCTATGTGAATGTCTATACATTTTTTTGGACAACTTACTGTTGAACCTCAAACTTTCCCCTTTTCATAGAAAAAGCCAAGAACACCGAAATAAGTATGCAAATCCTCTATATATGGAGTGAGCAAATTTTTACTCATTAAAGAGGAATCTGATATTTTACCAAAAATCTATGTTTGCTATGTTATCTGGTTAGACCAATTTGATGGTCCTGATAGAAACACGGTGCATCATGTATAATGGAAACCATTTTGCAAGCTTAACTGCAGCAGATGTTGATGTTCATGCTATAATAAAGTATGCTGGAATATAATTGACATAGAAGATTCTATACAAAATTATATTGCATTGTAGTGACGGCATTTTTCATCTTAGCTGTTTACATAATTCTAGCTACTGAAGGACACAGGGGCTGTACTTAACATTTTTTAATTTTCTCTTCATCATTGTTGAACCTCAGAACCATTTGGGTTTTTATGACTGACTCTCTCCAAAATGACCCTACACATTTTGATGTAGCTTATTAAATTACCTGTGGTGTTATGTTGACAGTTATCACATACTCCGCCACCTCCTCTATAGTGTTCGTTAGGAAAAGAATCCATTGCCATGTCATAGTGGCAGCTTACTGCACGGCCATAGCACTGACAAGGTTTACAATTATAAGCTTGGACTTGGTCACCTGGACGAAAAGGCTTGTCATGATATAATGGCAAACAGCGCTCACACTAAAATTAAAAAAAGAAAAGAAAGTTTCTTGCTTTATATCTCTACAAAGTACATATTCATATTGCATTTTATGCTTTTCCTTTTTTCACTGTTGAACATGTTGGCATATAGACTTTAAAAAAATGTTTAGCAAGCAAAAAACACTCAAAATCTTCATGCTATAACTTTTCACAAGAATTAAGTTCAAGGGGGGTATAAAATATAATACAATAAAAACTGCTAGGAAACTTAGCTCAGACTTAGGGCGAGATTTACAAAGGCACATAGGGACCTAAAGATACAGATAGGTCCCTGGTGGGATTTGCAAAAATGCCCAAGTAGATCAATGGGAATTGGGCTTCTAACCTGCTTAGGCATTTTTGGGCTTTAAGACATAATAAATAGGTATAACGCCTCCCTCCATGGTTTTTGGGGTCCCCAGATCTCCAAAGCTATATTTTACCCTGTAAAATTAAAATCTTGTACAATTACAGTGGCATTTAGACACCTAAAGATGGCCCCCTTGCATCCTCCCACCCCCGCCATAATGTACCTACACAAGGCTTGCTATAATCTGGCCCTACACACGTTTTATACAAATATTTGCAAGCCCAAAAATATAAATATTAGTCATCATTCCAAACTACTCAAAAATCACTCGTTCATTTCAGAAAAAAATGGTAAAAGATCATTACTGATATACAATGTTATTAATTTTAAAACACTAAAAATGTTTGTAGGCATCTGTCAACTGGAAATATTGCCTTAAGTTTTATATTTGTCTGAATTATTTGTCCATATTTCACCAGTGATTTCTAATGTCCATTTAAGTTAAGAAAGTTTGGTGTGGTTTCAAAGCTGATTAAATCAAAATCTCTCCAGTTCTATAGATGATATATTTACCAAATTAAGTGTGAAATATGATATTGATGCAATATTAGTAAACCAGTTGTAGTTGTTTATGTAAGTGTCCTGTGACAAAATGTTTTCTTATCAAAAAGGTTTTTATTTCTTCAAATGTATTTAGTATTTACAAAAGCAAATGATTTTAATTGTATTCCTTCATCCAAAAGAACCCAAAATTTCTGTTCAAGTTCTGTTGAAACTGGGGTATTGCATCTGTAAAGCTTTGTAAAAAGTATGAAATGAGAACAATCTCAAGTTTCTAATAGATTCTGCAAAACTTCAAGGAGAAGATTTATTGTGGCTATTGGTTCATCAAAAACAAAAACAAAAATTGGATTTCTTACAGATAACTAATGGATGGTATTTTGGACAATGACATTCTAATTATTCAGAAATGATCCAATTAATGTGCGATAGGGGATGGATCACTTGATGATTACCTGTTCTTTTCATTCCCTCAAGGGTACCTGACATTGGCCACTGTCAGAAGACAGAATACTGGGCTAGATGGACCTTTGGTCTGACCCAGTATGGCCGTTCTTGTGTTTTTTAGTTACACCACCACAATGAAAACAAGCACAAAAAGTAAAAGGAGCTGGTATTGAGACATACATAAGCTAAGAAATGCACCACGAACACGAAGAGCAAGAGAATGGGAAAAAGCTAAATGGTACGAGAAAGCATCTACTGCCAAAGAAAAATGGACAAAATTCAAACTTCATTTGAGGAAGTACTGTTTCATTCATTTCAATTAAGTAATTGTATGCATAAAAAGAGTCTGAATTTGGCCCAGTAAACATTCTCTGTTGGTAGAAACAAACAAATGTATTAAGAGACGGGGGTGGTTGAGTTTGAGGTGGTTATTGCAGGAAAGTTAAGATGCATTTAGTTCTGAATATGGTGAAGGTGGTTATCGTTCTTATTCTGTCTGACAGAGTTCTGTTGCCTTTGTCCAAAACTTCTCTGGTTCTCTCTTCTGTGGGTATGAGTTTTCCCATTTGTCAACAGATTCTTTTTTCCTATGGAGTGAAGCTGTCATGTGAGGTCATCATTGCAGTAGGAAAGGTAATCTCTCACACAGCCAGAGCCAATACCATGCAGGGATTTTAAAATCAGTATGATGACCTTGAACTAGACTCTGCATTCAATGGGAAGCCAGCACAGGAAGCAGCAAATTTGGAGGACTTGTTCCTAAAAACCAGTGTTAGTGAGCAGATGAATTGCTGTTGTATGAAACAGCTGTAGCTTCCTCAGGCCATTGAGCTTCATTCCTAGATGCTGACATTTTCAGTAGGCCACCCTGAGGTTATGAACACGTAGGTCACTGTGGCCTGATCAGTATCTGATAGAATCCAGCACATTCCTCTGGCTAGTCACTGATGAAGTGGGTGTTCTTTGCACAATGGATATTTGGGTACCTTAGCGCAGTGCAGCCTAAGACAGCCCCCAAGGCAGCAGGTCAATCTAACCATAGGAGTATAGATTACTTCAATAGTGAGGGCTGAAACAGAGGCGAATTCTTCAAAGCACTTCCTGCTTCCTACCAGCATGCTCTCAGTCTTGTCAAGGTTCAACTTCAGTCACCTGCTCTTCAGCCAGGCACTTTTGGAAAGCTTGGAGAGTGTGCCATTAATGTTTGCTATGAGAGAGATGTAGAGCTGGGTGTTGTCCACACGCTGCTGGCACTGCAGCCTGTTTTGTCTTACTAGCTTTCTAGACACGTTTATATAGGTATTGAATAGGATGGGGACTCAACCTTGCAAAACCTCATAAGTGAGGGCTTTTGACCAGAACAATTCTGGGTTTGCTTAACAAAGAAAAACTCTGCCATTTCAGGGTACTTCCATCACTCTGCAGTTTCTTGGGGACAGGACAAAAGTGTTTGGTTATCAATGGAATTAAATGCTTGCGAGGTCCAGCAGAATGTGAATGGATGTATTTTTATTGTCAACAAGCAGGAGGAGGTAATGCATCAAAGCAACAAGTGCTGTCTGTCCCATGCTCCCAACTGAAGCCTTAATGGGAGGGGTCCAGGATGTTGGCATTTGAAACTGGAGACAGTTTTTGGCCAACAGTGACTTAGTTATTTAAGTCTTGGACTTCATTCAACCTCTAGTGTAGACAGCGTCTTTTAGAGACAACTATATCACAAATCATCTGTGCCATAGGACATACTGAGTGTCTGCAGTGTATAGGACTAGTGTAGTATTCCTTTTAATAGTTGTGAGACCTCTGTATATTCTGTCCTAGAAGCTGCCAGAAACATGTCAGAACAGCAGTATGTATATAGCTAGGCCTTGTGAACTTATATTTAGCTAGTAAACCATTATCTGGGATCTAGCTGCACATGTATGGAATAGGAGTTCTAATTTCATGCTGAAAGGCCTTTGCTTCTAGCTGTTTTACCTCTTCAAAATGTAACTATGCCAATGACAAATGCCATGGTACAACACAAAACTAAATATGATCCAGTGCTGGCTGAAATGTATGACATTATGACAACTGGAAGATTTATGCACACAAACATCTGTTTAAAGGGCTATTACCCTATTCCTAAACACTTCAGTGTCCACTTTTGGAAAAACTACTCAGGATATTTTCTAAACATTTGTGCCAGGTTACAAATATTTGTGGTTCATCCCAGAGAGCAGCTTAGAGAGAATCGGGTACCAATGGCAAAACACTGGACTAGAACGTAAAATATTTTAAAATATTTTCTTGATAAATTTTAGCCAATCAGATCCTGGAAGTTTCCGTTACTGTATATTTTACCATGAGTTGCTTTTCTGCAAGATTATTTATAGAATGAGTTTTCAAAATCAAGAATTACCTAAGGACAGTTACAAAGGAGTTACAAAAAATAGGGGATTAAAATGGGTTGAATCTTTCAGTCTCTTTGTGGTACTTAGGCTGCCACTCATTTTTATTTGTCAGAGCTAGCACACCTCTCACATGTCCCTCTTTCCAAAGGATGGTCCTCATCATAGACCCCCTTCTAGCCCTGAACCCCACACAGATCTGGAACTACCTGGGATTACACCCTATTGGTAGCAGATATACTAAAATATAGAAATTGAAATGATGAGGAGGCATGAATCCACATTGCATCAGGCTCCCTGAGCTACTATTTTTTTCACGTCCTGAATTTTGGGTGTTTGTCCCACATCTAGGATTTCTCAGATCAAATGGTCTTGTCAGGGATGTTAGTCTAATCTTTCCTTAGAAAGCGCCAATGACAGGGATTCTACAACCTCCTTAGGATAACCTGTTCTAGTGCTTAACTATTCTTACAGTTACAAAGTTTTCCCTAATATCTAACCTAAATCTCCCACACTGCAAACTAAGCTGATTACTTCTTGTTCTATCCTTGGTGGACATGGAGAACAATTTATCACTGTCCTCTTTATAACTGCCCTTAACAAGTTTGACAACTCTTCTCAGCTTCTCTTCTCTAGAGTAAACATGCACAAATCTTTCACCCTTTCTTCACAGGGCATGTTTTCTAAACCTCTAATTTTTACTACTCTCCTCTGGAGTCTCTCCAATTTGTTCTCATCCTTCTTAAAGTGTGTGCCCAAAATTGGACATAACTTAGTGACGACGACTGCTAATTATAGACAGAAAGTCCTTTCTCCAGATAGTACTGATGTCAGTAAATCATGTTGGGTATCATTTCTCTCTGACAGGACTAGGTGCAGACAAGTACCTTTCAGAGTTTGGCTCAGTCTGTGCACACGAATGGAAAAATATGCCCACGCTGATATACATCTGATCCCCTTACTTTCTCTGGGGATAGTTTTCTGGGAAAATGCATTACATGAAGTCAGCTAGATCAAAATATCTAGCTCATCTTGACCCAATTCATTAGTCAAAACAAGTCTTTGCTCTAATTTGTCATCATTTTATCACAATTCCTGGATCCAGCAAATTTGTGAATAGACCTAATGACATCAGCTTGAACACAGATGTGCAGAGTTCCGTATTAATCATTTGGAATGCTGGAGGAAAATCACAGTGAGGCAATCTTCAACATATCAAGAATGCAGAGTGGTGCTTGAAAAGGTACAAGTATTTTAAGCCTTACAATAAGTAGTACTTAATTAAGCCCGTCTTC